AAGGATTCGGGCCCCCCAGCCACAGACTTGAAATGTCTGCATCTGAAAGGAAGTTAGGACTAATGTCAAACCGCTGCAGGACAACTTAACAGTACCAAACATGTTATGTCAATCTCCTAACACAATCTGGAGCCCAGCTACACCCTGCATTACTAATTTCAAGTCCCCAGGACTTGTGCTATTACAGGCTATGCAGCAGGGCAGAGCAGCTCCGGGACAAATACGTGCAGACACCCGTGACACAGGACAGGACATGACAAACCAGGAGACAGAACAGGGAGGGAGAGCTTTTGATGAGAAGAAAGGACTGAGAGACCCAAAGAACACAGAGTGCACCAGAGACAAGTGACAGAACACACACCAGAACTGCTCTGCCCTGCGCACCTCAGCACTGTGATCAAAACAGACACTTTCCCTTCAGCTGGCCTAAGGAGACGCTTCTTAGACATCCCCGTATCCAAAACTGACTCAAAAACCCCTCCTGGGGACTCCCAACCTGGCACCTCGCTTCCATGCCCTCTGTGGGTTGTAGCCCTTGACTTATCTGGCATATATCTGGGGATCCAAATCTCCATCGGGTGCAGAACGAGGCCTCCTGCCTGTCTGGGAAACTCCAGTTGTCACCAGACTGTTCTCTCTTGGTCTGCCAAGACAAAGAAAACCAAACATCAGTGCACAACCGTAACAGCACAATGGCCAAAACCTGACAATTCTGCTACTCACCATTCTCCTCAGAATGGTCGGGCCACACACCGCAGGCGTGCTTGGAGGCCGACAGCATCATCTCAGGGTACACCTAGATTAAGTGGAGAAAGGGTGACATGGCATTGCTGAAACTTGAGTGGACTCTCACTCCTCCTCCCTACCTCCCCGACTCACCACAACTCCTTGGCCACTGCTCTGGGTTACCAGGATGGGACCTTGAAATGCAAAATCAGTAGGCTTCATCACAGGGTCCTGTAATACTTCCAGAGGGCTCATAAGTGCAGCAAACCCAGTCCATCAGCCAGCTGCTGACAGGGGCTTGGCATACTCCCAGTGGATTCCCTAAAGCACAAAAACAAGAATGGCTGCTTACAGTTGCACCAAAAACTGAAACCTGAGCAAGAACAACTGCTTCTCTCCACTGCTCACCTGGCACAATGGGCCTTGACTGCTGCTATCTGCCTGGACCTCCTAAAAATAAAGGCAAAGAACACCGCTGTAACAGAGTCACCACTTAGGCTGCTTCCCCTGTAAATGCAAACAATGACTGACCAGCTCATGGGAAGTTCTTCACCCAGGACTGTGGCCCTCTGGCACTGATTTGAACTGTCTGCATCTGAAAGGAAGTTAGAACTAATGTCAAAATGCTGCAGGACAACTTAACAGTACCAAGCATGTTATGTCAATCTCCTAACACAACCTGGAGCCCAGCTACACCCTGCATTACCAATTTCAAGTCCCCAGGACTTGTGCTATTACAGGCTATGCAGCAGGGCAGAGCAGCTCCGGGACAAATACGTGCAGACACCCGTGACACAGGACGTGACAAACGAGGGGACAGGACAGGGAGAGAGAGCTTTCCACAAGAAGAAAGGACTGGGAGACCCAAAGAACACAGAGTGCACCAGAGACAAGTGACAGGACACACACCGGAACTGCTCTGCCCTGCGCACCCCGGCACTGTGATCAAAAGAGACACTTTTCCTTTAGCTGGCCTAAGGAGACACTTCTTGGACATCCTCATCTCCAAAACTAACTGAAAAACCCCTCCTGGGGAGTCCCAACCTGGCACCTCGCTTCCATGCCCTCTGTGGGTTGTAGCCCTTGACTTATCTTGCACATATCTGGGGATGCAAATCCTTGTTGGCTGCAGAAGAAGGCCGTCTGCCTGTCTGGTAAGTTCCAGCTGTCACTTCTTGGCCTGCCAAGAGAATGAAAACCAAACATCAGTGCACAGACTTAACAGCACATGGGCCAAAACCTGATAATTCTGCTACTCACCATCCTCCTCAGAATGCCCGGGTTCTGGGCCTGCACGCTCCGGGTGTGCTTGGATTCTGACGCCATCATTGCAGGGCACACCTACGTTAAGGGGAGACAATGCTGAAACTCGAGAGGACTCTCACTCCTCCTCCCTACCTCCCCGACTCACCACAACTCCTTGGCCACTGCTCTGGGCTACCAGGATGGGACCTTGAAATGCAAAATCAGTAGGCTTCATCACAGGATCCTGTAATACTTCCAGAGGGCTCATAAGTGCAGGAAACCCAGTCCATCAGCCAGCTGGTGACAGGGGCTTGGCATACTCCCAGTGGATTCCCTAAAGCACAAAAACAAGAATGGATGCTTACAGTTGCACCAAAAACTGAAACCTGAGCAAGAACAACTGCTTCTCTCCAGTGCTCACCTGGCACAATGGGCCTTGACTGCTGCTATCTGCCTGGACTTCCTAAAAATAAAGGCAAAGAACACCGCTGTAACAGAGTCACCACTTAGGCTTCCCCTGTAAATGCAAACAATGACTGACCAGCTCATGGGAAGTTCTTCACCCAGAACTGTGGCCCTCTGGCACTGATTTGAACTGTCTGCATCTGAAAGGAAGTTAGGACTAATGTCAAACAGCTGCAGGACAACTTAACACCACCAAACATGTTCTGGTAATCTCCTAATACAATTTGGAGCCCAGCTGCACCCTGCATTACCAATTTCAAGTCCCCAGGACTTGTGCTATTACAGGCTATGCAGCAGGGCAGAGCAGCTCCGGGACAAATATGTGCAGACACCCGTGACACAGGACGTGAGAAACGAGGGGACAAGACAGGGAGAGAGAGCTTTCCACAAGAAGAAAGGACTGGGAGACCCAAAGAACACAGAGTGCACCAGAGACAAGTGACAGGACACACACCGGAACTGCTCTGCCCTGCGCACCTCAGCACCGAGATCAAAACAGACACTTTTCCTTTAGCTGGCCTAAGGAGACACTTCTTGGACATCCTCATCTCTAAAACTGACTCAAAAACCCCTCCTGGGGAGTCCCAACCTGGCACTTCGCTTCCATCCCCTCTGTGGGTTGTAGCTCTTGATTTATCTTGCACATATCTGGGGATTCAAATCCCCATCGGCTGCCGAAGGGGGCCACTACTCCCATCCCCAGGCCATGGACCCAACTTATCTTTTGGATGACTGGAAATGCGAATCCACGTTGGACCTGAAATGAGTCTGCCTCGGAGGGGATCTCCTGTTGGCCTCTTATTCAGCTAGAATAAAGAACAGGAAAATCAATGGTTGAGTTTAGTGTTATGTGGGCCAAATCCCAGCAAGTCAGATACTTATCCTCTCCTGAGTGTGCTTGGGTGCTCAAGTCTCCAGTTCCATCCCTAGTCTAAGGTTTGGCTGTTATTATGAGTAGCACCTGGTTTAGAGAGGCAAAGTTACATGGCATTTCTGTGAGTTCAGTGGATGAGCTTGTGTGCTGTATGACACACGGATGCCTCTGCTATACTTGTGAAAAGCCTTGCAAATAGACACCATTTCTCACCCTACTGCCTGCAAAACCCCACCATGATAACTCTTAACTTGGTACCCTGCTCACTCTCCCACTCCTAGTCCCAATCCTCAACTCACCTGAAGCCTCAATCTCAGACATCATCTTTGACACAGGGCAGATCTCTTTTGGAACATGATCACTCTGCTGAAAAAATGCTGTACTCGACACAACCTGGAATTACAGGAAGTTGCACTCCTCCTAAAAAAAAAAAAAAAAAAAAAAAAAAAAAAAATTAGAGATTACAAAAGCACCACCCCTGAATGCACAACCCCAAATCATGAATTTAAATACTACCTGTGTTCAGTGTTGTTTTCCTCACAGTATCTTCAAAGCCTCTGTTGCATTAGAAGCCCAAAACACCTGCAGAGAACAAACAGAGATAAGCTGAAAGAGCCTCTTCACAAAAATGAGAGGAGAGCACTTACCCCAGTGGATCCCAAAGACAAAATGAAGCCTCTTAGCAAAGGCTGGGGTTAATATACCCCTGATTGGGCTGATTCAGAGCAGCTGTGGCTGTTTGGCTCCTCTGATTTGAGTTCAAGGGGAATAATGGGCTGGATACAGAAGAAAACTCTTCAGGGAAATGATAGCTGCTTCTCTGTGTCACCCTCCAGCTGCCCCTGTCCCCCTCAGCATCTCCCTGTGTCACCCACTGTCCCCTCCCCCTGTTCCTCCCTCAGCTCCCAGCCTCTGTCACCCTCAAACCCCCACAGTGCCCCTCAAGCTGCCCCTCAGCCTCTATGCCATGAAAAGACCCTAAAAAAACATTAAAATGCCCTAAAAACACCCTCATCCTCGCTATGTCCTAAAACCCCCACAAAATCATAAAAATAAGCTCAGAATACCCTTAAAATACAATAAAATTACCCTACTTTAAAAAACCCTAAACCACCCCTAAAAATCCCCAAAGAACCTTTAAAAATCCCTAAACATTCCTAAAAGAGCTCTAAAAATAGCCCCAAAATCCTTAAAACAGACTGATAAGACCCTAAAAACCATAAAACTTCCCTCAAAAAACCTAAAAATACTCTGGTCCTAAGAGTCCTCCACATACCCCCAATAGTCCTAAAAAAGCCCTAAAAATTTTTAAATAGTCTTAAAAAAGCCCCAAGAACACCCCAGAAAAAAAACCCATAGAAATTCTAATTAGTACTAAGAAAGCCCTTGAAGCACCTTAAATAAATCTTTTAAAAACCCTGAAAATACCCTAGAAGTAGCCTAAAACCTCCCAGAAAGTTCCTCAAGAGCTTCTGTGAGAAAACCCCTCAAACACCCTTTAAAAACACTTTAAAAAATACCTTAAAAAGTGCTCAGTCCCAGACACCATCCATGCCTTTTAATTAAAGTCACTGCCTGCAGCTGCTGGGAGGGTTCTGGGGCTGTCCCAGCATTAGGGTCACTGCCTGCAGCTGCTGCTGGGGAAAACTGGTGTTCTTGGGGTGCTGTTTGGGGTGAGCTTAGGGCTTGTTCACCTGTCACCCTCAGGCACCCTCCACTTTGTCCCTCAAGGCACCCCTTGCCTCTCAGGCTCCATGTGTCACCCTCCAGCTCCCCATTGCAGCCTCTCAGTGTCCCTGTGCTCCCCTTTTTACTCCTACAGACCCCTTCTGCCTCTCAGCCTCCTTGTGTCACCCTCAAGCTCCCCATTGCAGCCTCTCAGTGTCCCTGTGCCTCCCTTTTTACTCCTACAGACCCTTCTGCCTCTCAGCCTCCTTGTGTCACCCTCCATTCCCGCACCGCAGCCTCTCAGTGTCCCTGTGCCGCCTTTTTATTCCTGCAGACCCTTTCTGCCTCTCAGCTGCCCCCACCCACTCTACCACCCTCAGCCCCAGGACCCTTTGTGACACTGTCTGGGAATCCAGGGCTTTGTAGGGCTCTCGCCGCCCTGGAACCCTGGCAGGGGTCAGGAACCCCCCTGTAGAGATCCGAAGTTCGGATTTTTTGCAGTCAGCTGCATGCTCAGGGCCACAGGACTCGGAACGCAAACATCGGCTCTTTTCCCTGGGAAAGAAAACTCACCAGTCCAGGTTCCTGATGTCAGTTTGTAGGGCTACCCTGGGACTCTCAGGGCAGAACAAGTATGAGGTGGGGGCAGATCCTGTCTGGGACTTATCCTTCGATGTTCGGATTTTTTGCACTCAGCTGCCCGCTCAGGGCCACAGGACTCGGAGTGCAAACATCGGCTCTTTTCCCTGGGAAAGAAAACTCACCAGTCCAGGTTCCTGATGTCAGTTTGTAGGGCTCCCCTGGGACTGTCAGGGCAGCACAAGTATGAGGTGGGGGCAGCTCCTGTCTGGGACTTATCCTTCGATGTTCGGATTTTTTGCAGTCAGCTGCCCGCTCAGGGCCACAGGACTCGGAGCGCAAACATCGGCTCTTTTCCCTGGGAAAGAAAACTCACCAGTCCAGGTTCCTGATGTCAGTTTGTAGGGTTCCCCTTGGACTCTCAGGGCAGCACAAGTATGAGGTGGGGGCAGCTCCTGTCTGGGACTTATCCTTCGATGTTCGGATTTTTTGCAGTCAGCTGCCCGCTCAGGGCCACAGGACTCGGAGCGAAAACATCGGCTCTTTTCCCTGGGAAAGAAAACTCACCAGTCCAGGTTCCTGATGTCAGTTTGTAGGGCTCCCCTGGGACTCTCAGGGCAGCACAAGTATGAGGTGGGGGCAGCTCCTGTCTGGGACTTATCCTTCGATGTTCGGATTTTTTGCAGTCAGCTGCCCACTCAGGGCCACAGGACTCGGAGCGCAAACATCGGCTCTTTTCCCTGGGAAAGAAAACTCACCAGTCCAGGTTCCTGATGTCAGTTTGTAGGGCTCCCCTGGGACTCTCAGGGCAGCACAAGTATGAGGTGGGGGCAGCTCCTGTCTGGGACTTAGCCTTCGATGTTCGGATTTTTTGCAGTCAGCTGCCCGCTCAGGGCCACAGGACTCGGAGCGCAAACATCGGCTCTTTTCCCTGGGAAAGAAAACTCACCAGTCCAGGTTCCTGATGTCAGTTTGTAGACTTCCCTGGGACTCTCAGGACAGCACAAGTATGAGGTGGGGGCAGCTCCTGTCTGGGACTTATCCTTCGATGTTCGGATTTTTTGCGGTCAGATGCCGGCTCAGGGCCACAGGACTCGGAGCACAAACATCGGCTCTTTTCCCTGGGAAAGAAAACTCACCAGTCCAGGTTCCTGATGTCAGTTTGTAGGGCTCCCCTGGGACTCTCAGGGCAGGACAAGTATGAGGTGGGGGCAGATCCTGTCTGGGACTTATCCTTCGATGTTCCGATTTTTTGCACTCAGCTGCCGGCTCAGGGCCACAGGACTTGGAGCGCAAACATCGGCTCTTTTCCCTGGGAAAGAAAACTCACCAGTCCAGGTTCCTGATGTCAGTTTGTAGGGCTCCCCTGGGACTGTCAGGGCAGCACAAGTATGAGGTGCGGGCAGCTCCTGTCTGGGACTTATCCTTCGATGTTCGGATTTTTTGCACTCAGCTGCCCGCTCAGGGCCACAGGACTCGGAGCGCAAACATCGGCTCTTTTCCCTGGGAAAGAAAACTCACCAGTCCAGGTTCCTGATGTCAGTTTGTAGGGCTCCCCTGGGACTGTCAGGGCAGCAGAAGTATGAGGTGGGGGCAGCTCCTGTCTGGGACTTATCCTTCGATGTTCGGATTTTTTGCAGTCAGCTGCCTGCTCAGGGCCACAGGACTCGGAGCGCAAACATCGGCTCTTTTCCCTGGGAAAGAAAACTCACCAGTCCAGGTTCCTGACGTCAGTTTGTAGGGCTCCCCTGGGACTCTCAGGGCAGCACAAGTATGAGGTGGGGGCAGCTCCTGTCTGGGACTTATCCTTCGATGTTCAGATTTTTTGCGGTCAGCTGCCGGCTCAGGGCCACAGGACTCGGAGCGAAAACATCGGCTCTTTTCCCTGGGAAAGAAAACTCACCAGTCCAGGTTCCTGATGTCAGTTTGTAGGGCTCCCCTGGGACTGTCAGGGCAGCACAAGTATGAGGTGGGGGCAGCTCCTGTCTTGGACTTATCCTTCGATGTTCGGATTTTTTTGCAGTCAGCTGCCCGCTCAGGGCCACAGGACTCGGAGTGCAAACATCGGCTCTTTTCCCTGGGAAAGAAAACTCACTAGTCCAGGTTCCTGATGGCAGTTTGTAGGGCTCCCCTGGGACTCTCAGGGCAGCACAAGTATGAGGTGGGGGCAGCTCCTGTCTGGGACTTAGCCTTCGATGTTCGGATTTTTTGCACTCAGCTGCCTGCTCAGGGCCACAGGACTCGGAGCGCAAACATCGGCTCTTTTCCCTGGGAAAGAAAACTCACCAGTCCAGGTTCCTGATGTCAGTTTGTAGGGCTCCCCTGGGACTCTCAGGGCAGCACAAGTATGAGGTGGGGGCAGCTCCTGTCTGGGACTTAGCCTTCGATGTTCGGATTTTTTGCGGTCAGCTGCCCGCTCAGGGCCACAGGACTCGGAGCGCAAACATCGGCTCTTTTCCCTGGGAAAGAAAACTCACCAGTCCAGGTTCCTGATGTCAGTTTGTAGGGCTCCCCTGGGACTGTCAGGGCAGCAGAAGTATGAGGTGGGGGCAGCTCCTGTCTGGGACTTATCCTTCGATGTTCCGATTTTTTGCAGTCAGCTGCCCGCTCAGGGCCACAGGACTCGGAGCGCAAACATCGGCTCTTTTCCCTGGGAAAGAAAACTCACCAGTCCAGGTTCCTGATGTCACTTTGTAGGGCTCCCCTGGGACTCTCAGGGCAGCACAAGTATGAGGTGGGGGCAGCTCCTGTCTGGGACTTATCCTTCGATGTTCGGATTTTTGCACTCAGCTGCCAGCTCAGGGCCACAGGACTCGGAGCGCAAACATCGGCTCTTTTCCCTGGGAAAGAAAATTCACCAGTCCAGGTTCCTGATGTCAGTTTGTAGGGCTCCCCTGGGACTCTCAGGGCAGCACAAGTATGAGGTGGGGGCAGCTCCTGTCTGGGACTTATCCTTCGATGTTCGGATTTTTTGCACTCAGCTGCCCGCTCAGGGCCACAGGACTTGGAGCGCAAACATCGGCTCTTTTCCCTGGGAAAAAAAACTCACCAGTCCAGGTTCCTGATGTCAGTTTGTAGGGCTCCCCTGGGACTCTCAGGGCAGCACAAGTATGAGGTGGGGGCAGCTCCTGTCTGGGACTTATCCTTCGATGTTCGGATTTTTTGCAGTCAGCTGCCCGCTCAGGGCCACAGGACTCGGAGCGCAAACATCGGCTCTTTTCCCTGGGAAAGAAAACTCACCAGTCCAGGTTCCTGATGTCAGTTTGTAGGGCTCCCCTGGGACTCTCAGGGCAGCACAAGTATGAGGTGGGGGCAGCTCCTGTCTGGGACTTAGCCTTCGATGTTCGGATTTTTTGCACTCAGCTGCCTGCTCAGGGCCACAGGACTCGGAGCGCAAACATCGGCTCTTTTCCCTGGGAAAGAAAACTCACCAGTCCAGGTTCCTGATGTCAGTTTGTAGGGCTCCCCTGGGACTCTCAGGGCAGCACAAGTATGAGGTGGGGGCAGCTCCTGTCTGGGACTTAGCCTTCGATGTTCGGATTTTTTGCTGTCAGCTGCCGGCTCAGGGCCACAGGACTCGGAGCACAAACATCGGCTCTTTTCCCTGGGAAAGAAAACTCACCAGTCCAGGTTCCTGATGTCAGTTTGTAGGGCTCCCCTGGGACTGTCAGGGCAGCAGAAGTATGAGGTGGGGGCAGCTCCTGTCTGGGACTTATCCTTCGATGTTTGGATTTTTGCTGTCAGCTGCCGGCTCAGGGCCACAGGACTCGGAGCGCAAACATCGGCTCTTTTCCCTGGGAAAGAAAACTCACCAGTCCAGGTTCCTGATGTCAGTTTGTAGGGCTCTCTTTGGACTCTCAGGGCAGCACAAGTATGAGGTGGGGGCAGCTCCTGTCTGGGACTTATCCTTCGATGTTCGGATTTTTTGCACTCAGCTGCCCGCTCAGGGCCACAGGACTCGGAGCGCAAACATCGGCTCTTTTCCCTGGGAAAGAAAACTCACCAGTCCAGGTTCCTGATGTCAGTTTGTAGGGCTCCCCTGGGACTCTCAGGGCAGCACAAGTATGAGGTGGGGGCAGCTCCTGTCTGGGACTTATCCTTCGATGTTCGGATTTTTTGCAGTCAGCTGCCGGCTCAGGGCCACAGGACTCGGAGCGCAAACATCGGCTCTTTTCCCTGGGAAAGAAAACTCACCAGTCCAGGTTCCTGATGTCAGTTTGTAGGGCTCCTTGGACTCTCAGGGCAGCACAAGTATAAGGTGGGGGCAGCTCCTGTCTGGGACTTATCCTTCGATGTTCGGATTTTTTGCGGTCAGATGCCGGCTCAGGGCCACAGGACTCGGAGCGCAAACTTCGGCTCTTTTCCCTGGGAAAGAAAACTCACCAGTCCAGGTTCCGGATGTCAGTTTGTAGGGCTCCCCTGGGACTGTCAGGGCATCACAAGTATGAGGTGGGGGCAGCTCCTGTCTGGGACTTATCCTTCGATGTTCGGATTTTTTGCAGTCAGCTGCCCGCTCAGGGCCACAGGACTCGGAGCGAAAACATCGGCTCTTTTCCCTGGGAAAGAAAACTCACCAGTCCAGGTTCCTGATGTCAGTTTGTAGGGCTCCCCTGGGACTCTCAGGGCAGCACAAGTATGAGGTGGGGGCAGCTCCTGTCTGGGACTTATCCTTCGATGTTCCGATTTTTTGCACTCAGCTGCCGGCTCAGGGCCACAGGACTCGGAACGCAAACATCGGCTCTTTTCCCTGGGAAAGAAAATTCACCAGTCCAGGTTCCTGATGTCAGTTTGTAGGGCTCCCCTGGGACTCTCAGGGCAGCACAAGTATGAGGTGGGGGCAGCTCCTGTCTGGGACTTATCCTTCGATGTTCGGATTTTTTGCAGTCAGCTGCCCGCTCAGGGCCACAGGACTTGGAGCGCAAACATCGGCTCTTTTCCCTGGGAAAGAAAACTCACCAGTCCAGGTTCCTGATGTCAGTTTGTAGGGCTCCCCTGGGACTCTCAGGGCAGCACAAGTATGAGGTGGGGGCAGCTCCTGTCTGGGACTTATCCTTCGATGTTCGGATTTTTTGCAGTCAGCTGCCCGCTCAGGGCCACAGGACTCGGAGCGCAAACATCGGCTCTTTTCCCTGGGAAAGAAAACTCACCAGTCCAGGTTCCTGATGTCAGTTTGTAGGGCTCTTTTTGGACTCTCAGGGCAGCACAATTATGAGGTGGGGGCAGCTCCTGTCTGGGACTTATCCTTCGATGTTCCGATTTTTTGCGGTCAGCTGCCCGCTCAGGGCCACAGGACTCAGAGCGCAAACATCGGCTCTTTTCCCTGGGAAAGAAAACTCACCAGTCCAGGTTCCTGATGTCAGTTTGTAGGGCTCCCCTGGGACTCTCAGGGCAGCACAAGTATGAGGTGGGGCCAGCTCCTGTCTGGGACTTATCCTTCGATGTTCGGATTTTTGCACTCAGCTGCCCGCTCAGGGCCACAGGACTCGGAGCACAAACATCGGCTCTTTTCCCTGGGAAAGAAAACTCACCAGTCCAGGTTCCTGATGTCAGTTTGTAGGGCTCCCCTGGGACTGTCAGGGCAGCACAAGTATTAGGTGGGGGCAGCTCCTGTCTGGGACTTATCCTTCGATGTTCAGATTTTTTGCAGTCAGCTGCCCGCTCAGGGCCACAGGACTCGGAGGGCAAACATCGGCTCTTTTCCCTGGGAAAGAAAACTCACCAGTCCAGGTTCCTGATGTCAGTTTGTAGGGCTCTTTTTGGGACTCTCAGGGCAGCACAAATATGAGGTGGGGGCAGCTCCTGTCTGGGACTTATCCTTCGATGTTCGGATTTTTTGCACTCAGCTGCCCGCTCAGGGCCACAGGACTCGGAGCGCAAACATCGGCTCTTTTCCCTGGGAAAGAAAACTCACCAGTCCAGGTTCCTGATGTCAGTTTGTAGGGCTCCCCTGGGACTCTCAGGGCAGCAGAAGTATGAGGTGGGGGCAGTTCCTGTCTGGGACTTATCCTTCGATGTTTGGATTTTTTGCAGTCAGCTGCCCGCTCAGGGCCACAGGACTCGGAGCGCAAACATCGGCTCTTTTCCCTGGGAAAGAAACCTCACCAGTCCAGGTTCCTGATGTCAGTTTTTAGGGCTCCCCTGGGACTCTCAGGACAGCACAAGTATGAGGTGGGGGCAGCTCCTGTCTGGGACTTATCCTTCGATGTTCCGATTTTTTGCACTCAGCTGCCCGCTCAGGGCCACAGGACTCGGAGCGCAAACATCGGCTCTTTTCCCTGGGAAAGAAAACTCACCAGTCCAGGTTCCTGATGTCAGTTTGTAGGGCTCCTTTGGGACTGTCAGGGCAGCACAAGTATGAGGTGGGGGCAGCTCCTGTCTGGGACTTATCCTTCGATGTTCCGATTTTTTGCACTCAGCTGCCCGCTCAGGGCCACAGGACTCGGAGCGCAAACATCGGCTCTTTTCCCTGGGAAAGAAAACTCACCAGTCCAGGTTCCTGATGTCAGTTTGTAGGGCTCCCCTGGGACTCTCAGGGCAGCACAAGTATGAGGTGGGGGCAGCTCCTGTCTGGGACTTATCCTTTGATGTTCGGATTTTTTGCGGTCAGCTGCCCGCTCAGGGCCACAGGACTCGGAGCGCAAACATCGGCTCTTTTCCCTGGGAAAGAAAACTCACCAGTCCAGGTTCCTGATGTCAGTTTGTAGGGCTCCCCTGGGACTCTCAGGACAGCACAAGTATGAGATGGGGGCAGCTCCTGTCTGGGACTTATCCTTTGATGTTCGGATTTTTTGCACTCAGCTGCCTGCTCAGGGCCACAGGACTCGGAGCGCAAACATCGGCTCTTTTCCCTGGGAAAGAAAACTCACCAGTCCAGGTTCCTGATGTCAGTTTGTAGGGCTCTCCTGGGACTGTCAGGGCAGCCACCGTGTACAAGTTAAACAGAATTTTCTGTCAGAACTGGGACTTTCAGTGCACCCCAGGTGCTACTCGACTGCCACATACACACAGAGGGCTTCGTGAGGTGCTCTGGGGTTGGACAGTCCTGCTCCAAGCCCTGCTGATGCCCCTGTGATTTTAACACTTTCCTCAAGGAGGGCGCAGTATTTGCCCCTAGAGCTTAATTTCTCAAGTTTTCTTTGGGAAACGCATCCACTTCCTACTTAACAAAGCAGACCCCTCTCCCTGATCTCGGGAAGAGCTGCCTACAGGCATGGGAAGCACCTTCCTCTCCTGATCGCCACGCTCTGCCCTTAAAACACTGTGTTACTGAAGCCAGCTACCTTCCAGACCAAGACTGCCCATGCATGGACAGCGTCCCTTCTCTTTAGGGCCACGGAAAAAGGGCAGAAGCACCTACAGAGGTTCAATGCCCCTCTTGAGCACAAAACACCATGAACCTGCACCTCCTTCTGCTTGCAGGGAAGATAATGAAATGCCTCAAGGTAAAAAATGATAAATGGTAAAAAATTATTACAAGAGGGTAGAAATGATGCCACTTTCACTCCACTGCTAGAAATGACACATAAAACATAAAAAAACACCTGTACCTGTTCCGTTTTCAGACTGAAGCAACAGCATATTCCTGGCTTCTAATGCTGCAGGGACAACAGCACTGAAGGGAAATGTTTGGATAATCACGTCTTCATTTAAAGAGAACCCAATTTCTTCATCTAAGCCATCACTGCCCTCCATCAGAACAGCCAGCATATCCACGACATCTAATAAGTGAAGGAAAAGAAATGTCAGCAGAGGATTCAGACTAACTGGGAAAACAACACAGGTAGAATGCAACATTATAGGAACACAAGGTATCTTTTTGGTCCCAAAAAAAACCCAAAAACAAAAACACCAAACCACTGGAAAAACAAACCAAAACAAAAAGAACCCAAAAAACCCAAAGGCACATTTGTCAGGCAATACAATGTTAAGAGCAGCACAAAAATCACAGCTGTACTTCACTCTACCTTTCAATGCTGCTGTCCAACACAGGTTGCCCAGAGAAGCTGTGGCTGCCCCCGGATCCCTGGAAGTGTCCAAGGCCAGGCTGGACAGGGCTTAGAGCACCCTGGGATGGTGGAAGGTGTCCCTGCCCACGACAGGGGGTGGAACGGGACGAGCTTTAAAAAAAGGCGCCTTCCCATCCAAACCCTTCTGGGATTCCACGATTCTATGAACAGCTCCGGGCAGAAGGACTAAATTTCCATTGTAGTTTGAAAATGCTGCTGCAAGAGCACAACGAGAGATTTCAAATACCATTAAAGTGGCACAACCACATCAAAAATTACATTTGGGGGTAAAGTGGCAACTCTGCAATTCCAACTTCTGCTACCAAGGACACATGGAGGGCTGAATCCTGGAGGTCCTTACATAACAGGATTTCTAGAGTTATCCATCCCCAGGCTGCTGCTTAGGGTTAGAAAAGGTAGCCCCAAGCCATGCAATTCTGTTCTTAAGGGGTTAGCACATACCATCAATGTGAGAGACAGGGATGCTGATGTTATCAGAGTCCTGGAGCAACCTGGAGCATGCTGGCTTCCTGAACCAGGTCTGCTGTCTTGTCCGTGTAGGGGTAGGGCTTTGTCCTCAGCTTCAGCAGGATCTGTCAGCAAAGGCGGAGAGAAAAGTAAGCGCACCAGCTCTCAAGCGTAGGGGAACCATGTGCTGCTAAGGAAGACCACGGGCTAAAAGTGCTTGGAAGCCGGGCGGGTTTTAGGAGGACAAGTTCCATACTACTTCTGCGTGATTCTGTCTACAGTTCCTGCTCTACAAACCAAATACATCAAAAACACCTTAAATTAACAACAACACTCCCGCGCCGTCTCGGTGGTTTTTGGCCCGGCGCTGGCCGGGGAGCTGCAGTACCGGCCTCCGTCCACAAGGCGGCAGCACTTTTCAAGCGACTCCGCGACAAGGCACTCGCAAGATGGCGGCCCGTGGGGACCTTGATGGAGAGAGGCGTATTACGCCGATGCCTGTCGGCTCCCGCCAAAAACCCGCACGCTCCCGGTGCTGCTGACCCCACAGCCCGTGTGCACGGCACCGGAACCGCCGCGGAAAATCCCGTCGGGGGGCGCCGGCGTTGGGGACAATTCAGGCAGTGTAGAAAACACACATGGGTCCTCGAATGCCAACGTCCTCTTTTTCGCGCCATCTTGAGAAGGTCAAGCGAGTCCGCGACAAGCCACTCCCAAGATGGCGGCCGCGGGCGGCTGGCTGCAGTACCGCCCTCTGCCCACAAGGCGGCAGCACTGCCGCCCGCCACCGCCGGGGGCCGCCGCTCGCCTCGGGGCCGCGGGCGGGGCCGGCGGCAGAAAAGAACGGGCGCGATGCCCTCCGGAACCTGCCCTGCAGCAAATGCCCCAAAACATCCCGCGCGGAAAAGAACGCCAGCAAAAAAAACCCCTGCCTCTAACCCAACAGGAACCAAAAGTAAAAACCTTTTCTTTTAAACTGCATTTCAATATATTTTTTTTTTATATTTTCATATTTATATTCACATTCGGATTTATAATTCGGATTTAAAGGCCGGCAGGGGAGGGAAGAGGGACGGTGGACACAGGAGGGAGAGAGGGGGAATAGAACGGAATAGCGGGGCAGAGACAGGACAGGAATGAGCCGGGTTTGGGGGGAAGACGGAAACGGGGGAAAGAGAGATAACTGAGGGGAACACGGGGAAGGAGGAAGGGGCGGTAGAGAGAGGGACAGGACGGGGAGCCTCACAGCGCCCCGGCGCCCCGCCCTGCCCGGGATGCTGCGCTCGGCGGGGCTCGGCTCGGTTCGGCTGGACTCGGCTCCGCGGTCCGTTTCGGCTTCTTTCGGCTAAGCTCGGCTATTAGCGCCTGCATTCGGCTCCATTCGCCTCTTGGCACAGCTCGGCTCAACTCGGAGCCGCTCGGCTCCTCGGGCCCTTTCGGCTACTTTCGCCTACGCTCACCTATTATCGCCCACACCCGCCTCCATTCGCCCATTCCCCACACCTCGGCTCCCTTCGGCCCACACATTTCCTCAGGGCACCTCATTCCACGGGACACAAACTGCAGCCCCTAAAAGGCTTGCGGCTCTTTCAAGACACAGACGTGTAACTTTCCCAGTTGTTCTTGGAGTCCTCTCTTGGTCATTCCCGAGGGTCTCAGGTGTCCCCAGGCCCCACTCCCAGGACATCCATGAATCCTGGGGGTCCAGACCCTTTGGAGAGGAATTCTGGGGATCCAGAGGTGAATCCGAGACCCCTCAAATCCCATTCTGAGTTGTCCACATTTTGGGAACCAGAAAAATCCTAATCTCAATCCCGAAGTTACCCCATTCCCATGGAATCAGGACATGGAAAACCCCAAAAGCCAAATAAAAAAAATCCTGGAAAAATCCCCAAATTCCCAGCCTGAGCCCCCCTGATTTTGAAAACCAGGAAAATCCCAGTCCTGGGAAAATCCTAATCCCAAAGTTTCTCCTTTCCCATGGAATTAGGACCTGGAAAAACCAAAAAGCCAAAAAACCCAGAAAAAACCCCCCAACTTCCCCCCAAAAATTCTAAATCTTTTCCAACCAACCAAAACTTCTGGGATTTAAAGCAGATGGAATTTTTTATTTTTAATATGAAAAGCGGGAATTAAAAAATTCCAAGGGAATCCCGAGGGATCCCAGTTGGAGCCTCCAGGGTCAAACGTGGGACTGGGGCAGTCCTGGGCCAAAATTCCCAGGAATTCTGGCCTGTGCCCATTCCCCACCTCACCAGGAGACTCCGATAATTTAGGGAAATAAATACAGGGAATAAAATCCCAAAATCACGGGAATTCCAACAATAATCATTTGGGGGAAAAAGCATGGATTTCTGCAGGAAAAGCCTGGAATTCTGTGAGAAAAAAACACAGGATTCTGAGGGGAAAACATGGAATTTTTAGGGTTGGGAGAGTATTTTCCAAGTCCAAGAGTGGTGCTGGAGGTCAGAGGTGGTAACTCCCAGAGTTTTGGAATTTTTCTTCAGGAAAAAAGCAGAATCCAAGATTTTGATTTGGAAACTCCCAAAAAAAAAAAAAAAAAGGTGAAATCCCGAATCCGGTTGGGAAATACCTCTGGAATCCACACAGGAATGGCGAGAGCCAGAAAATCACTGGGAAAAAGGGGGAAATTTCCCGATTCCAACCTGGAATCGTGCCCTAGGTAATCCCAAACTTCTTCCCTCAGGAAGGGCTCTGAGTCCAGCTGGGAATTCCGATCATTCCAAAGGGGAAGGGTCTAGCTGGGCCCGGATCCCGAAATTCAGGTTTCCACCACTCGGATCAGGGGCAGCGGCTTTGGGCCTGGGAGGCGTTTGCTGGGAAAAGGGGAAGAAGAAGAAAGAAAAAAAAAAAAAAATTTCAGTAGGAAAAAAAAAGAAGGAAAAGGGTTTTGGGGTGATTGGATTCCCAAAAATTCCTGCGGGAGGGATTTGGAATCTGCTGGAGACATGGAAAAATTAGGGGAGATTTCAATTATCCCCAAATGTGAAAGAGCATCCCAAAATTCCAAAAGTTGGTCCCTAAATCCAGAAGTGAATCCCAAAATCCAACCGTTCATCCCAAAATCCCAAAGAAAATCCCAAACTCCACGCAGCACTTCCAAAATTGCAGCCCCAAATCGAAAAGTTCATTGCCCAATTCAAGGAGAATCCCCAAATCCAGAAGAGATCCCAGCATTCCTGACCCAAATCCTGGAATTCCTGACCCTGATCCCAGAATTCCCAACCCTGATCCCAGAATTCCCGCGGCACCTGCTGACGTATTCTGACTTGGAGCGTGCGCGACTGCTGCTCCCGCCCCGGCTCACTTGTTTCTCGATCAGGTGCTCAATCCGGTCATGCATCTCCAGATTCTGGGGAAAAAAATGGGATTTGGGATCGGGAAAGGGTTTTCCAACCCTGGGGAGCTGCCTTGGGATGGTCCTTCTGTGCGCGGAACAGGAATTTTTGGGATTTGGGGGAATTTGGAGTGTGGGAATGGGACTGGGGAGTTCCTGAGTTATTTGGGAAGGTTTGTCCCAGGAAAAATGAGGATCAGGGGGAATTTTCCCTCTCAAAGTCCTCAATCTCACTTTTGTCTTGGGAATTTCCAGGAATTTCCCAAATCCTGGTGGAAATGGTCTGGCTCAGGTTGGGAATTCAGGTTTTCTCTGGCTTTTTTTTTTGGTCTTTTGAGATTTTCTAGGTCTTGATTCCCTCCCTTTTCCCACATTTTTCCTGCTTTTCCCCCATTTCCAGTTCCCCAACCACCCCCACAAGGAGCCCAACCCCAATCCCAACATTCCAAAAAGATCCAAGCTTGGATTCAGCCCCCAAAATTCTGGGCCCCACCTCTGCTTCCAGGTAGGAAACTCTTTCCTTCAGCTCCTGGATCGCCGCGTCCTTGGCATGGATCACGCTCTTGGAGTTCTGCAGCTGCAACACAGACATTCCCAAAGGATTGGGAATTCCCGGAATTTTTCCAGAGTTTTTCCTGATTTTCCCCTTTTCCCCCCTGTTTTTTCCTGGATATTTTCCTGATTTTGCCTGGATTTTTCCCATATATTTTCCTGGGTTTTTTCCCGTTTTTTCCCAGGTTTTTTCCTAGTTTTTCTCAGAATTTTCCTGGGTTTTCCTCTGGTTTTTCCCCAAGTTTTTCCCCAATTTTTTCTAATTTTCCCCCATTTTCCCCCAGATTTTCCCCCAGTTTTTCCTGGTGTTTCCTGGTTTTCTCCTGTTTTTCCCTGCATTTCCTCATTTTTTCCCAGAATTTTTCCCTGGATTTTCTGGGCTTTTTCCCAGTTTTCCCATCACCTGCTCGATCATCTGGCGGACTTTGCGCTGCTGGCTCTTGAGCATGTCGTCCAGATGATGGATTTTCTCCCGGAGCCCCGCCACCTCCTTCTCCAGCTGGGACGAGCTGAGAAAATACCAGGAGAAATCTCCAGGAACAGCCTCCAAAAAAACTGAGAATGCCCACATAAAAAAAAAAAACCCTAGAATTCGTACTCCCAAAACAGCCTGGGAATGGTCACATCCAAAAAAAATTGGGGAGTGTTCAGCTATAAAAACTCTGATTGCTCACAGCAAAAAAACTTGGGAATGCTCATCCCAAAAAAAAAAAACTGGGAATGTTCACCTAAAATAAACTGGGAATGTTCATAGCAAAACAACTCTGGAAATCCCACTCAAAAAACAAAAAGGGAATGTCCACCTGCAAAAAAAGCCTGGGAATGTCCACCACGAAAGAAAACAAGAATGCTCACCCCCAAAAAAAAACTGGGAATGCCCATCCCAAAAAAATTTGGGAATGTCCAGCCCCCCAAAAAACTGTGAATGCCCATCCCAAAAAACCCTTGTATATCAGGAATGAGTCAGGATACCAGGAATTGGGCATTCCTGGGATCTTCTCATTCCAAGCATTCCCATCCCAGGATTCCCCCATTCCCAGAATTCCCATTCCCAGATTCCCACCGCTCCTGCTGTGCTGCTCTCTCCCCTTCCGCCTTCCGGAGCCGCTCCAGCTCCGCCTGTCCCGACTCCATCTGCGCCAGCAGATCCCGGTGATCCTGTGGATTGGGGAATGGGATTCAGGAATGGGATAATGGGATACAGGAATGGGATCCAGGAATGGGATAATGGGATAAGGAAATGGGATCCAGGGATGGGATAGCAGGAAACCAGGAATGGGTCAAGATATCAGGAATGGGGTGGGATATCGGGAATGGCCCCAGCTCTTCCCAATCCCAAATCCACTCATCCCAATCCTGGTTCCTGATCCCAAACTCTCCAACCCCGATCCCAAATCACCTTTTCCATGCCTGCCAGGAGCCTCTGGAGCTGCTCCACCTCCGTCTCCGCTCGGCTGCGGGCGGAATTCGCCCGCTCCACGTCCTCCTGGCACCGCAACAGCGCCCTCTGCAACGGGAGATCCGGGAATTCTGGGAATTCCAGCTCTCAGGACACATTCCGGAACTTTCCTGGAGATCCCTCAAAAAGCCCCAAGGGGAATAGTTCCTCAAAAAACCAAGCATCTCCTCTAAAATTCCAACATTTGGACAAAATCGCCCCTAAAATCCCAGAATCTGGGCAAAATTCTCCCACAAGATTCCCAAATCTGGGTGAAATTCCGGATTTTTGGGAATTCCAGG